TACACATTTTGTGTGTGTGTGTGTGAACATATTTCTTCATATATACTTGCTTATATACATGTGGGTGCTTTCACTATTGTAAGAGAAGTTATTTCATAAAACTGAGTACACATTTATCATGTAATTAAATGCAACTCTTACATAGAACATCATTTCTTTAAAACCAATTCTAAAAATAACCATTCCTAATATGACTGTTATTATTAACTAATGTCAGCTAGACAAAGGATATTTGTTTTGAAATGGTGGAAACGATTTTTAGCTCAGGTGAATGATTTTAGTGAAGTTTTATTGTTTGAGCTGAGAGAACAAAACTCCACCAAAGGACATGTGTTTCGCTATAGTTTGGGATTAATCTCAATACACCATTTTTAGTTGGACAAATCAATGTGTGAAAAGTTTATTTGCAGATGATCTGTTACTAGTGTTACTTGAATCTCTATCAAAGTTTCACATTATTACAAATTGATAATATTGACTTTATGATAAGTAGAACAAAAGGAATTGATGCTGAATGATAGTCAAATGAAAATTGATTAGTTTTCCTTGATCAACAAGGATTTTACAGAAAAGAGATATTAGTTTGCCTGAGTGATTCTGATTTTTGTTTACCTAGTAAATATTTAAAAAAAAAGAACGTTGGATATATGAGCTTTAACGTTATTTCATAAATAAATTCACTTTATTCATCAAATATTCTTTTGCTTAAATCAATGAAGCTAATAGGAACAGTTGTTTTATTATAAATCTAATATCATTCTTCGGTTTTTAACTGTATATATTACTAGTTATTGCTTTAATGTAGCCAAAAAAAGTCGATAGACAAAGATCTAATCACTAAGTCAGCTTAGTATTAGATATTTTTCAGTCATTACATTAATACATCATTTGGTTCACTCAGGAAAGAATTCACTACAGGTAAGTCTAACTGATGGACTTAAAATTGACTAACGAGATAATGTAATGACATATGATCACTGAACATTTAATTAAGGTTATTGAATAAATAATAACTCATGAAAGAAATCCCACTTCCATCACAAACTTGCCCCTAAATGCCTTGGTACGGCCGAGAGTAGAGAGTGTCAGTTCTCCTTCTCCAAATGTTCTCATATGGCCACGTGCAAACAACCACTGCCAGGAAAGTTTTACTCACTTCCTCGAGGCGGGGGTGTTGTCTACGAAATTGAGAGGATGAAAAGCGAATGTCCGGCGCTTTAACCCAGTTATGGACACAGAGAGTTCACCTAGGAGAATTGGAAAACCCTGATTTCAAACCAATGGTTCACATGGGCTGCAGTATCCTGAGGGAACAAATGACGTATGAACCAATCGTTGGTCACCGGCTACCATGGGACTACATCTTACGATGCACCACTGTCTTTTGGACCAGACTTTTAGGTCAAAGGCTCCGGGAGTGGCCCACTAAGAAAACCATCTGCTTCGGTTTGGGCACCCGGGCAGTATCATAGCTGTCACACAAATTTGATGGTGTGGCACATATGTATTTAATGCTTCCTTGTACCAATGTTTATGTGTTTGAATAAAATAAAATAAAAATCTGAAAGCAAAATCCAGAATCTCTAAAGAAGTGGTAGTCTTTAAGGGTAGACATTACTTGAGAGTCGATTAAGAATCATGGTGTATTACGGATTTATTTTATCCAGGTCTATCGATTCATCTCAACTAAGGACAGAACAAAAGATTTTCAGGTTTTGTGACGAGCATTAAATCTACAGACCATCTAATTCACATTTCCAATCATTTTAAAACATGGTAAATACCACTTACAGATGAATCTCATACCTGTAGAATCTCTTTTAACGATAAGATAAACACAGTTATTCAAGAAATTGTAAATATTCTGAGAAACTGTAAATACTTTGATGGTTAAATTGATAAGACATTGAATCTATATTGAAAATAAATCGTTCGTCATAATGAACAATAAAAACATGATTGTACTTAAATAAATGATCGAGATTGAAGGAAATGTGTAAACGAAAATTGTGTCGTTATTCGCTATTCTTTCACTACTATCAGTTATCTGCTGTATTGTCAATATTGGTAATATGGATACACATTACTGACTAATAGAAAACTCAAGTAAAATCATTATTTCTAAATAGTATCTTCATTTTTCTCTAGTTTTTTTGTTTACTTTTTAATTATTAGAGTTATTGGCATTTAACGTTTTTTTTTTCTAAATCTTCACTACTTTGTCTATACGTTTCCCTTATTACCACCATAAAGTGGAAATTTTCAGTTTGTATTAGTGGAAAGCTTTGATAGACATTCAAATAACTCTGATAGCAGATCATTCAAAAATTAGAAATAATCACTAACACTATCCATTAATTGTATTTGTTCATAAATTACCCACTCATTTCTTCAACTTGCTTCAAATGTTTGGAGAGATAAGTATCAAGCTACAGAGAAACAGTTGTTCCTTGCTCAATTGTTTTCAACGGAATACTAGTTAATTTAAAATCAAACTATTATGAAGAGATTTTTCATTATGAATCGATAACATTAGCTAGTCAGCGATTGAAGATCAAATATTACCAAGCAGTCATTGTGTAATAACATAAAACTTTTATCAGTGGGCTCCAGTAACTTCATGTGGAATGAAACTCGGTATCTGCAGAACTTGTAGGTGTTTGGTATATAATGCTAAGCGATTTCAAAAGTAAGATGAAATGACCGACTGATGTTACCTAATTACCACTGTTTATTTCGTCTCTCTCAGTTCAAGATGAGAAATGGTTACAAGCAAACATTTATTTTTAAAAGGGGGTTTTGTTGAGATTTTATAGTTAAGTTCATGAGTCAATTAAAGCTAGACCGCCATGGAGAAAGTGTTTTTAAATGAAAAATATTAAAAATCAATGCATAAATAATAATTTGATTAACGATACTTTTTCAGAGAAATGAACTAATTTATCATAATCAATTTGTTTCACTGAGACTTCTTTGAAAAATTCGAAGTCTCTAATGTTCACTGAACGGTTTTTTCAAGAATGGATTGTAGAAGATACGTAAAACTAAACTAATGAAGACGATGTAGCTAGTCACTAAAAGCTTAATCAAAGTGATAGATTTTTTATATTTGTAGATGCTAAGATCAAATTAGTGAATAAACGGTAATCACTGAACATAATACTGTAGTTTACATTCCTGACTTTTAATCAAGAAAATCCTTGATTCTCAGTGCTTGTCTATCTTCTAGTCTCATATCAAACTATGACAGCCTTTTATTGCTGGAATGAGTTGGAAAATCAATAACATATCTGACTATGGTACACTAGTATGCATAGATTACGTTTATGAATGGTACTTCCCTGAATCCACTTCGTCTCTAGAAATCAAACATATTATGAAATCTCCTAACGCACTATAATCATGAACAATAACAATGAGTACCATTTAATTATGATCACAAACTGATATGAAAAATGGAGGTAATCTCTAGTAAATAAACTACCTAACGAACACTCTGTTGGGAAATGTGACATTTATCATTCTTCAAACTGACGTTACAGCTGAGCACATTTCCTAATGTATTTATGTTATTTTACGGATTACCTAATAATGAGGAAGTGAAGCAGCAGTCTCCGCATTAATACGCCTCGACATACACAAAGGAAAAAGCAAGACTCTCAAATACAACGCAGAGAACATCAGCCCAATCACACTTGATGGATAAATCTGGAAGAAGTGGAAACTTCCACATATATTGGCAGCATCACCGATAGACAAGCACGATCTGATACAGATGTAAAGGCAAGAATTGTCAAAGCAACGGCGGTATTCCCACAGTTGAAGAACATGTGAAACTCAAAACAATTCTCTGTCAACCAATTTCATAGTCACAATCTTCAATACGAATGTCAAGACAGTTCTACTGTATGCAGCTGAAACTTGGAGAACTGTCTCAACTGTCATCAATAAAGTACAAGTATTTGTTTACGATTGTCTACGCAAGACACTAAACGTTCGTTAACCGGATACCATTAGCAATAGCCTAGTGTGGAAGAGAATAAACCAAGTAAGAGGTGAAGAGGAACTTAGGCAAAGAAGTTGGAGGTGGACATGAGATCATTGTGGAAATCATCAGATTGCATCACGAGACTAGCCCTAACTTGGAACCCTGAAGTGAAGCAGAAAAGAGGAAGGCCAAAGAATACATTACGCCGGGAAGCAGATATGAAAATGATAAACAACAACTGGAAAGAGCTGGAAAGGATTGACCAGGACAGGGTTGGATGGAGAGTGGTTGTGGGCGGCCTATGTTCCTCCACGAAGAGAAACAGGCGTACGTAAGTAATGAGGACTCTATTATTAGGAGATCGCTGAATATAATAGCGTACAATTCGACAATAATAATAGTGTTATTCAGACTGATATCACCTTTGATTTTACATATTATCTGCATTTTTTCTTCAGTTTTTCATCAACTATTTCACAAACGTTTAGTCAAACTGATTAATTTATAAGTCATGCCATTAGAAATAAGTCTATTCTTGTTATTTCCATTACCTTCACGTAGTAGTCCTGATTAATCCTGAAAATTGATGTGTGTTCTATGATCATGTTCAGAATATATCTTATTCAATGTATCATCAAAGGAAAACCGCTAGAAATAGTCAACTTGCCGTATTAACTAAAAAATTATTTAACGTTAAATGTTCATAAGAATCATATGCTACATAGTCGAAAGTAAGCAATAAAAAGATTTGCTTGTTTGCTTGAGTGAATGAATCACCTTTGAAGAAATTTGTGTATCACATAGACTTTATCCAATATTCATTAATATCTTAATCAAAATTATTAAAACAGAAGTGATTTCGCATTATTTCTATCTCCATTCCTCATCTATTCTATGGATTTGATCAAATACACAAGTCTTTCACCATTGTAATCAAACCAATTGTTATCAATAATTTAAAACAGAATGAATATAGATGAATAGTTTAAATAAAGAATCATTATAAACTTACATATTCTAATAGATCCGATGCTCTAGCTTCTAATTCTTGCATACGTTCTTCTATTCTACGTATTGCTTGTCCAGCTTCTTCACGTTCTATTTCATATCTTTGAAGACAATATTGAAGATGATCTAGCTATCATTGAATGTTGATATTTTATGTTACAGAAGAATGTAAAACAGAAAAAAAAGAAGAAGCAAAAATGAAGTGATAAAAGAATCCTGTCTTTTTGTTGTGTTATTGAATAGCAGATTGACAAATTAATTTCATCTTTTCGTCAAAATATGTATTTTTGGTAGTGAAATTCATGATATTCATATTTTGTTTTACTTGAGACTTTTCTACTGGACATCATTGCATTATTTTGGTGATATTCTTTACATTAGAACGCTAACTCAATACCTTTCGTTTCAAAAATACCAACTCATTAGACACTGATGTCAATATTGGCGAAGTACGCTCAGTATGCCCATATACCAATGAAAATAGTGCATTTAATTTTCATAATATCAACAACAGGAAAGTCAAAATACTTCTATGTGAACCCCAGTTCAAGATGTTATACTTTATAGTATATCTAAGAGTTCTCACTAAACACTGCTGAATAGTCTTAGCCTATAACTGAAATACTTGCTCAGTTTAATTTACATATAAAGTCACAAAAGATGAATTCAACGAAAAGAAAAACAACATCTTGTTCAATTTATTCATTTTTATAGTTAAACAATCTAATAAACGTGTATTACACTATTAGCTTATAAACAAATTGTTTATTATAAGAATGTGATTTTCCTTATAGTTTTGATCAGAAAATCGACTACTTAATTTGCAGTAAACACTTATAAATTGAATAGTTTATGAGATAGAAGAAACACTGGGGGTTAGTGTAATTAATCGAAAATTTAGAATGAATAACAAATCAAATAAATAATCAAGAACGTAGAATAAATCGGAATATTTTTGTATATGAGAAACATATTAAGTCATGATTAAGACAAGTTTATAATCAACTGTTTTCTGTTTAAACAATTCTTGGATTAAAAGCGAAGATGGATAGTGGCTAGTAATGGAATCCAGTTTGATGCACGTTTCATCCTATTTGATACTCGTCAGATGGATGTACCTGAACCTCAGAGTTGGTGTTCAATATAAAACTCGAATCCAGTACCGTTCATTTCAAAAGCCATCGCCTTGTACACTTGGCTGTTCAGATACTTATATACTATCCATCCTTGTGAATTAAGGGAATATCGAGGCAATATGCACAGTATTCATATATGCCTATAAGAGACTGGACAATTGAAGTGCTAAATAACAATAGGAAGATCCAAGTAAACAGTAATAAGCGAATTTGGTTCTTGGATTTCAGTTGTCAATGGTTAAAGTCTCTAAAGTGTAGATCGGGTTTAAACATATACCGCTTTCAAAATATGACTGATTTATACAAAAATGCCAGTATATTTTGCGAAGTTGCTATGTTCGAGATATTATGGTATCACTTTAGTAGCGGCAAACAAATGTTTACTAGAAACACAATAATACGACGAAGCTAAGCTATCCCTTTGTGTGCCAGCCCTGCCAACTAGAAGAAGAAGAAGAAGAGAGTCAGCACGGAAAACATGTAATTCTACATCCAGGCCAAAAGAACAAATGACAAGCACTCAACACACGCGTAGTATCTACAATACAAAAATGTCCTTGAAAAGCGTCACAAAATAGAGCACTAAAAGGGCAAACGAACCAATGACTTCTAAAAGCCTTTCAGGTGTGAAACACAAACTGAAAGTAAAAATGGGTGCTTTTGTCGCGGAAATGAGAAATTCACATTTCCACAATTAAATTACAAACATAAAAGGTTTATCAAGTGATTTCTGAGAATCTAGGTTCCTCAATAGAAGTACAGAGTTTGTTTGATTTATATTGTCCTTCATTAATTCAAGCTGATATATATAATTATACAGAAAGAGTAACATCGAGGAATAAATTATTCTTTTGCTGAATATCTCATATCTTGACAGTTATTTATAATATAGTTTTTAATTTTACTGAAACTATATTACCCAACTCATTGTTTTATAGTTAAAGCAATAGAATTTTTTCCGGCCTTATTACTTGGCATTTTACCTGAATTGCTTCAATATTTGTATGTGTATGCATATACATTTGTATTTTATAAATCATGAATTTCTATATTTTTATCTATTACTCGGGAATGATTCGATTACTATCTGGTTATTTAATTCTAATCCAATATTTTCCATTTTCTTAGTGTATCCTGAAGCTCTTCCTACTGTTACTACCGGTCTCAAGCATGGGTTAAAGAGAAGGACTAGGTATGAGGTAAGCAATTTCATCCCGTAGAAAGAAACCTTTCCAAAAAATTCTAACCAGAACAAATCATTTGAACCACTTAAACTCTACCCCTGGATTTGGTGGATGTTCATTTAGAAGAGTTAGGATGCCTCAAGGTGAAAGTCAATATTCTTCGCAAGTCGCAAGGCCAATGGAATGTCCGGACAATTTGGAAGACCGTGAGGACTAATCAAATAGTTACGGAAATGGGAAAATACAAATTGGTGGTTCCCAGAATCGGTGAAACCCGTTGGAACCAAGCTTGACATAAAAGATTAAATTCAAGAAAGATACTGTCGGACTTAGGTCATGAAAAAGAAAATGCTTCGTACACACAGGAAGCTGCACTGATTATGTCTAAAGAAACACAAAAGGCACTTATAGGATGGGAATCTCAAGGACTCAGAATCGTCAAAGCATGCTTCAAAACAAAGAAGGGATTAAAATGAACCTTATTCAGTGTTGTGCACCCAGCAGTGATAACAGTAAAGACGATGAAGACCAGTTTTATGAGAGGCTGTAATCAGTTGTAGAGTAGTTCCAAGGAAAGGAACTGACCATACTGATGTCAGACCTAAACGTCAAGGTCTGAGTGGACAACACCAAGTATGAAGATATCATGGAACAACATGAACTAGGAGAAAGGAACGAGAAAGGCGAGACATTTGCAAACTCTTGTGTATTCAACAAAATGGTTATAAGCGGAACAATATTCCCACACAAAGGCACAAACAAAAATATATGGGTCTCACCAGACCACCTTACGGAGAACCAGGTCGATCATATCTGCATTCAGAAGGTCAACTGAAGACGCGAGAATAAAGAAAGAAGCTAATATAGCTTCAGATCACCACCTGGTGGTTGCCTAGATGAAAGTGAAGATAAAGAAGCATTGGAAAACTGGACAAAAAGCATTGCATAGGTTCAATACGGCCTTCCTTCGACATACTGACAAACTCAAGGAATTAACAATAATTTTAGGCAACAGGATTCAAAAATGCAGACTGTAATGTTGTCTTTAGTCGTTTTTTTAAAAATAAGATTTTCGTGAATTTTTAATGGTAATTTATGTTCTGTGGGTAGTTGGTTTGGTAAGTAGATAGAAGAGACATAAATAACTAATGATACAGAATACACTGCAAAATACTAATAAAATTGTTGAGTGTGTATTTTAAGATTCAAACTGAACAGTTCGTTAGGATAATACGCAGACCCAGGTTTAGTCGTTCTTGCTTTACACTCAAAACGTTCTAGAAGTATGCTACTTAAGATATTCAAAGTAATGTAAAACAGGTCTTCAGACGTTTTTGGATGGTTGTCAAATTCGTTCAACTTGTTACAACGTAATCTTAATCACTCTAGTTTACCTACACTTATTGATCACTGAAAACTCCTGTCTTTCAAACCATTAAAACACAATGAATTCTGCCGATAAAATTCAAATGTAATTATTTGTCTAAATGACCCAATATCACACACACCGTACTTTAAAGTAAAAAGATTACAGGCAGTTGACTTCAGCCCATACACCTAATCTTTGGGACAACCAACACTAATCATCCACGCATATCCGGAAACCTAAGGAGATGTCTATTTCTTATACTATTCAAACTTAAGTCACTTTCATAAGTAGCTGTCAGTTTTTAGTATCATTTTTATTCTTTCCATTTAATGGGTGCTACCTTCCCTTGTATATAAGTCATATTATACTAGCTAGTAGTCATATTACAACGTAATCAGTGAAATTGAATTTATGATAAGCACTAGACAAACATTAACTCTGAGGTTTAGGTACATCCAGCTAACGAGTCCCAAATAGAACAAAACGCACATCCTGGATTCCACTACTAGCCACTTTCCATCTTTGCACATAATACTTGTGACTTAAGGCTATATCAAGTCAATCCGTACAGTATGCACATATTCCAATAAGAGATTGATCAATCGCAGTGGTAAACATCAATGAGAAGATTCAAACAAACAATACCATGTGAATTTAAACATTATATTGGTTACCATTCAATATGGAAAGCTCATTACTGTTTTTATACAAATAGCGATTCCAGTATTGACACTAGGTTATATATATATATATATATATATATATATATATATATATATATATATATATATATATATATATATATATATATATATATATATATATATCTTACGTCATATTTCTATATTACTGAACTTATATAGTTTAAACCAAACAGGTGTGTATGTGCCTTCACACATGTGTAAACATGATTATTTATTTAAATTCAAATTTAAATAAACTAAAGAAAAAATCGATATGAGGCCAAAAATAATCGATCAACTTTTACATTTCTTTCCTTAATAAACGAATTTTAATTTTTATATTGAAATTAGATTCACATGTTAGCAAATGCAAACATGCACGCACATGCACACACACATGCACACAATGATCAAACAAACATCAGCATGAATACAACATTTTCTCTTAACTATTTTATACATTTATTTACTCAAATAGAATATTGTGTCATTTGCTTCTAATTTACCAAAAAATATAACAATCATAATCCGTACTAAACAGAACCGTTAAAGTATATATATATATATATATATATATATATATATATATATGTTGTTTATAGACTTTATTGACTTGGATCAATATTCTATGTTACCAAGTACTCAAACAATTTTAACATTTAAACAAAGGCAACTAATCATTGTAAATTTAATTTCCATATAGTGATATTTGATCTTTGGTTTCTTTTTTATATTAAGAACAAAAGTAACTATCCTGA